GTCAAGGAACTGTCACACACATTAGAACAAGGGGAAATAATCCGTCCGGGCCACTTGCTTTGTTGGCATTTAGCTTCATCAAGTGGCTGAGTGTTGTATCCTCGTAAATGGCAGATGAACAGATCATGGGACTGTCCAACCGCGAAAGGAATGGTAAGAAGTGTAGTTAGCACCGAAAAAACAAAATGTTTAATTCAAATCTTAAATGTCCACGTCTGTATTTGACTCTCGGTGAGAGACACCACTAAGTTGTTTAAGCATCCGCCAGACTTCTCGGCAGCTATTGTTTACAAGCATGGTTTTCACATAGAGACGGTTTAGAGGACGCATTTCTAACTTGATAAAACTACCAAGGGAAGTAAGTATAAGGTATTATTTTTGTAGGGACGCTATTTCTTTGAGACTAGGCAGGCTTTTTAGGCACGATGATGAAAACCGATCAGCACGGATATAAATCGTTTCCAATGGACAGCAGGTATCAAAACGGAAGTTGAGATAGCTCGTTTACTGGTCACAGTAGATATATAAATCATTGTAAAGGAATATATTAAAGTCTGTAGTCTCGTAGTCTCGTATTCGATATATCTTCATTTAAGCTTACTGTCTTTACAGAGAGTACGCTGCATGTGAGTCATGTTGCTGTATATTATAGAAGATAACTTGACATTTGCGAGATCAGAGTTACCAAACGGCGCTTAATTGCACATAAGTGTCTCGGGTCTTTTCTGAGAATCGAAACACTTTCCCTCTTGTACAAGAATGCACAAGGCCTCCTCAGAAAAAAGTTTCCGAGCTTCGATTGTGCCATGTAAAATCGCTTGGGATCTCATCTCCATAACCGAGACTTTGTTCCGTCCGCAGGCTACGGATGCCGAGATCGCGATTCAGGGAACGTCCCTGTTCTCACATAAATGTCTCAGAAGGGGAGGTGGTGCTATCATATACTATCTTAACAAGTGCCAATGGGATCCACTGGATGATCCGAAGACGCGGGTCACCGATTCTCAAAGGCGCCATTTGCATCTCAGACACAACGACAACTGATTCGTGGCAGTCGTATGTTGCTCCTCATTGTTCAATCCAGAGATGCATTCCCAATTAATATCATCACTGACGAAATGCTTACTCCCAACTTACCGCCACGTTCTTATCTCTGGTGACTTCAACGTGCACAACTTGGAAATCTCGACATCACCAAGCATCACCAAGACCTTATCGTAAGTATCCCGCTCTACAATCGCATCACCTCACCTGATAACATACCATCGATATTTGACCTCGTGCTTACTATGAGGAAGTCTTGATCGACAAGCCATTTATAAACACCCTACTGTGGTTAAGCGATCAGGTCACCATACTTTATAACTATGTGTTACGCTGAATATCCGGAAGAACACACAGAACTAACAAGTACTATCACACATCACAACATCCTGAAGGATCTAGTTAAGAAGACCGATTAGAAATTCTTGAAAGGTGGCTTATAAGATAGCGCCTGGATTAATTTCTTCAAAAATTTTATCAACATAATCGCCGCTGCTGCAGCAACGAAAAACGTTCGCTTCACCAGCCCTCGTCTTTCATCAGAAGTAGAGCATGCGAGCGTATGTCAATAGGGAGTGCAGCTTGGCAAAATTACAGAGCTTGTCCTAGTCCCGAAACTTGGAGCAATCACGTGACTCAGCGCAAACATGATAACTTGCTGCTCCGTGCGGACAAATTGACTCACAAATAACATTTGGCCTGTAAATTTACCAGCAACCAAAATCTCATATGCAAGCATAATGCCATCCGGAAAGTGAAGCTCGGTATCCTCCCAGTTAACACGTCAGTCGGAGTGATACGTGGTGCCGAAGAGGCTGCCAACGCTCTACGAATGCATTATGCCCCGACCTTCAAAGTCGACGTCCGCCCCTGTAACATACTAATATAAATAGTTCCAACTTCAACATTCGCCAACGTCGCTTTTATTGACTTAGCTATGTTCAAAAAACTGCTCTCAATGTGCATCTACAGCTCTCTCGGTATCGATTATATTCTTCAAAATGAACTGAACGCAGCAGCAACAACGAGGATCAAGCCATTAACAATTTCTTTCAAAACGTGTTTGAATAAGCAAATTGTGTCTACCACGTGGAAACATGCCTTAATCGCTCCAATTTTCAAAAGCAATAATTGCTCGGAAACAGCCAAATATCGCCCGGTGATCGTCCGCCATGTGTTCTCAAAGGTAATGGAGGCAATCATCCTTAAGGCTTTAGTAGACCATGTAGAGCACCACAACATCATAGCACCAAAGCAACAAGGTTTCCGCCAGCATCCTTTAAGCACTACTATCTTACTGACTGCACACAGTATTTGGTGGATTCCAATCAGTAGCCGGATGTGTGCGATCAGATTGGCTGGCTCGTTCAAAGATTCTAAGTCGCGCGGGACTAATAAATGTCTATTCATCATCGCTGCCTACGCGCCCACAAACTGTAGCGATGATTCGGTAAAGAACGACTTCTACCGCCAAATGACTCAGCTCCTTCGCCACAGAAGAAGCACGGACACTGTTGTGCTGGCGGGGGATATGAACGCACAAGTTGGAAAGTTGTCCACTGACGAAATGCATCTGGGCGGTCAGCAAGGTGTAGGCTCCCGTAATGATAACGGTGAGCGGTTACTTCATTTGTGTAAAGATGCTCGCTTATTTCTTGCGAGCACTAATTTCCGACACAGCACACGCCGGAGGGTGACGTGGCGCCCACCAGCCTCGAATCAGCCTTGGACACAGATCGATCATATTGCTATTAGTTATCGCTGGAGAGGCTGCATCCAGAATTGTCGCTCGATTTGGCGCACATGTGTTGACACCGATCATGCACTTGTATGTGCTGACATGCGGATGCGCTTTGGCGGAAGCCCACGACGACGCTGTGAGCGCATTGACACCAGCCAACTGACAAAGCCAGCTGTTCTGAATGCGCATCGAAGTACGCTGACATGCGATTTGAGTAAGCGCTCACTGGAAACAATTGATGGTCACTGGTCACATGTTCGCCAGACCTTACTAGCAGCGGGCAAATCCTCATGTGGTATGTCTAAAAGCCAACATGGACATTGGTTCTCTTCTTGGTCTCTGGAACTTATCGATGCTCGCCGGCATATCCCAGCTGGAAGCGAGCACAATGAAACTCGCAAAGAGCTCCGGGCAAAACTCCGTGCTAGCCTGAAGAAAGACCGCGGATCTTGGTGGTTTCATCGTGCGTCAGATATGGAAGTGGCCGCTGCCCTTGGCAACCATCGTAAGTTATTCCGGCTGATACGGGAAACGGGCAGGAGCAGACCTGGTGTTAGTGAAACAATTTGTGATGAGAGTAGACAGCCTATCCACAAATTGTCAAAACGTTTGGATTGTATGGCTGAGCATTTTGAAAAGCAATTTAATACGCTAAAATTGTTCGATTCACCAGTCACTGATCGCGCTGCTCCGTGGGCTGTCCGTTTGGATCCACCATCTTGCTCAGAAGTCAAACGTGCGCAACGTACGCCATTCCATTATCACATCACAAACATTTGCCGACTTTTACAACTCACATGGCATCAAACACCTATGCAATCCAGCGTACCGCCCACAGTCAAACGGGCAGGCTGAACGTTTTGTCGATACGTTTTGCAAATTTACCGTACGACGCCAAGTCTATCAGTACCTCAAAGTGTATCTGCCTCCGAAGCGTTTCTCGGCAGACGTGTCAGAACGGTCCTTGATGCTTTGAAGTCATCGCTACACAAAGGAGAGGGAAATGTTCAAACGGATTTGGCTTTTAATCGCCACTATGCAACACGCCTTAGGGAGTTCCTGCCTGGTGATGGTGTGTATGTAAATAATATTCGTGAAGAAAGATCATGCTGCCTTCATGGCCGTGTCGTTCCAAGTTTTTTGTACAGAATAATAGTAGATTCCAACATATGGACTAGATATGGTAGCCATACTAGACCCCCTAAATAAAGTGCAATAGACGCTTCAAGAAAAGGAAGGTTCAACAACGTTGAACATTTTGCTGGATACGTATCAAATTATCCCGTCGGAGGAACCTGACGTCTAAACGGAAAATATAACAGCAGCTTGAAGATACACTACACGAATCACAGTCCTAGTGAAGAGACTCGAGGTTAATCAAAGACAGAAAGCACACTAATCAAACCTAGCGTGCTATTTAGTTCTATTTAATGGAGGATGGCGTTAGACGGGCTCACGCATGATAGTCGTTCCCACCTAGATTGGTTGACATTTGTGACTGTCTTGTCGCGTGAACTTGTCGCACGCACGCACCACAGTCGCTCAGAATCAGACCGCTTACCAATCATAACTATGCCTTTTCATTTGGTTGGCTGATTGATCGATTGATCTTTGTGCATGTTGTGCGTGGTTTGCTTGCTACCCGTTCTGAGTGGGTTGTATTGCAGTCAGATGTTACAATATTGATATCCAGTGGAGCAGAATTATGTGTGCCCTGCATATGCCATTCCATTATCAGAATATTCAATCCGCCCATGGAAGTTATCTAAGATTTGTCTATTATTTAACAGAAATAAAACGTGTTCAGTACAAAATAATTTTGAATTAAAAGGGCGTGCATTAAATATGTCATTAAATTATCACAAACCAACTCCGCGCACTGGAGTTATTCAAGATTTGTACATTATTTAACATACATGAAGAAAGCAAGCATATTATTTATCCCCGATATGATGCTGATATAAGCAGAGCTGCGTTTTCCACATTGAAACTTCGCTAAGCCATACTTCCGTCATTAGAACGTTACTTACATGAGGTATACAGCCTTCGCCCAGACATACCATGTTCACACAAAACAACATGCATGGCTATAAGATTTTTATTGTATATAATTGAGTTGGGCTCTTGGAATTGCGAGCATGGATTTTGCCGTGACTACACATTGTTCGCCAGATAAACTCGCCCTTATCTCTCATAACAATCTTTTTATTTGAAGTCACGCAACGTGCTCATCTGGCACCCCTGACAGAAGCGTATAGAGCGACAGAATATTTGTCTTCTTCGGGCGCAAACACAACGCAAATGCCACAGCCATCTACTATGCGAGGTTAGTCCGGTAGATTTCACATCTGCGAAAAATCATGCATTGCTATATACGTTGTGTATGTGGAAGAGGTTTATGGCAAGTTTCTTCTCTAACTTCTTGATATCCTTTGTGTGACTATGTTTTTCTTTTCCAGGCGTTCATTTTGTTCACCCTTTTGGCAGTGATTTGTAACCATTATCGCTTACCCCTTGACTTACTCTACCTTAGCTATTTTATTTCCATTCGCATCTTATTCCATGACTATACCGACTACTGCGGTATATTTTTGAAATGCCGTATTCTGGATTATACTTTTCCCTCCGGGTTGCTGCTTTATTCGTGTTTTACTTTTGAATTTCGCACTGATATTTTTCCTTTGGTGTATCTTCAATTATTGATATTTTTGTGCTCATGCTCTGATTACGTTCCGAGTATCTGCTGATTGGTTAAACTGCGTCAGAGTCCACCAATTTGGAGTAGTTTTTGCTCTTGTCATCTAGGGTAGATGCATACCCCTGGGACCGATTACAGCCTATTAACTCCATAGACCACTCACTTGACCTTTACATCTTCAACGGTTGCTTGTCTGACGCATACCGCCAAGGAAGTTTGAAGTGTCTTTAGTCATCCCACTGGCTAAATTAACGACATCAGGCTGTATTGTCAATATCTGTAGGTGCACATCCAGGTACACTTCTAGTAACTTAGTTACGATGGTAGTTGCCGTCCCCCCTAGCTCTGTGGTCTCAACCACGGACTGGCAACAGTCGAGGTGAGGGTTCGAACCCTACCACGGTCCCGAGGAATGCGCATTCCTGACGATTCCTGAAAGGATGAAACGCGCCTACAGTGCTTTCTAAGTGAGCCTAGATGTGAAGAATTTCTACCTATACCATTCAACTCCCCCTACTACTCTTCTGTAAGGCCAAAAGGTTTTGCGGGTCAGGAGAACGTCATCGAGTATTTGTACTAGGCTTAGCTTGCTTGCATTGTTCAAGGTGCAACAGCACTTGCGAGATGAATACCTCTCAAGATGTCCTTCGGTTCAGTAGCGCCTGTTCGACCATCATATTTGTCAAGTGTTCAGTAATACAACCGGTTGGTAGAAGAAGCCGAGCAGCGCATGAGAACTAAGCTCATCTCATTGGCGGAAGGTCTGAACTAGTTTAAGCTAGGGACATTTAAGCAAATGAAAGACGCACAAGTTGTTACTCCTGAAACCGGATCAGCCAGGTGCCGATCGTCGTTGTCTTCTACATCTTTGGCAGAACACTAGGCGAAGTTGTCCGTAACTCTGAGAAGCAAAGAGTTCCCGTCGAAACTAAAAGAAGCCACCAACAACAACGTGCGATTAATCAATTATTCTCATTCTTGATGACAACTGTATGTAAGAAAGACAAAGCAGCCGAAGAGAAACGCTCAGCATCTGCAGCTAAGGAGTCTATTGTCTAGCATAAGTACCCTAGAATATCAGTCACATATGCCGCGCATGCTGCAAAGTTCGTCCAATAGGCCACCTTTTTGGTCTCTTCCTTACAAACACCGCTAACTTGAATAGAGAGACAAACTATAAGCAAGCAGCACTTATTGGCAAGTCAGGACAAACGAACCCCCGACCTTACAGCTTAACAAATAAGGGATCTAACAATAGTGCCCTGACTGTTGGGTGCTCGAACGTACTCGAATCAGCAGCTCACATTGCAAGGTAAATTGTCCGACGACCCAAACCAATGGGAGTCACTGTGCTTCCTGTTGAAAGGAAAAGCTAACTCCACAAACTTAGTAAGAATTACTCGTCATCCGTACTCTGCACACTTTGGCGAGCCCAGACTTATCAGAGTAACACTAGAGTTCTCAAATGATGTGGAAAACAGTCTGTTCACTACAAACGCGCTGCAACCTGGATCATGTGGGAGACGTATCTATTCTGATGTTCCGTGGAACACGCCACAGTCGAAAAGAAACTCCGATGAAGGATACAGCAATTCCGATGGTCTGAACACTTCATCCATATTGTGTCAGAGCTTCCTTCACACAACAGTCAAGGGGAGGGAAATCATGATTTAGAACAATGGCGACGCATCCACGGAACCCTTTCCTTAAACAATGTTGTGGCGCGATTGCTCAAAAGGTTACCCCTCTCACCAAATAATAGAGGATGTGGCCCGGGAAGCCTAAAGCTCGTGGTCCAATCGGAATAAGCAGCGACCGATATGTTACGTAGTTGGAGCAAAAAGCGAAAAAGCTTTCTATCGGACCTTTGGTTAAGGACGGCATTTGCTTCGCAAGGTGCATTTACAAAATCATCAAAAAATGCAAACGAACCGGCGGTGACAGCTCCTTTAACCAATACGGACGCAAATCTAGATGAGGGTTGGGACGCGCTTTGGCCAGATAAAGGTACAGAAGTAGTATCATTTTCTCCCCAAAAGCGAATAAAGGCCGGCTTCACATCGGTCAGCAATCCCACACACCTGTCTTCTTTGACACCCTGTAAACTACGAGAAACTGACAAACTAGTATGCTTATAAACGGATGCTCAAAATCTCTCCAGTAAACGCACTGAACGGAAAGATCGCCAGGTCTCTCAGAAATATGATATCATTGGCATCAAGGAGACGTGGTTACACACCTCAATGACGGACGCTGAAATTTCGATGCCTGGTATGTCACTCATTCGTAACGACAGACTGACAAAAGATGGAAGCTTAATTCTGTTTAACAGAAGCGAATTACACTGCGAGGTCATAGATAATTCAGATTTGCTTATCCCTGATTCACTTTATTGCTACCTGCAGTTAAGAGACAGAGGCACCCACCTTACAGCCTTGGTGTACAGTCCCCCCAACTCTACATCGGAAACAGACTACCAAACTGCGACTACTCTACGGTGAACCCTAAAACGACACTACACACGTTTTGACCATTGGTGATTTTAACGTGCATTGCTTATAAACCCCTGCCATGAGCGGAGAAAAATTTAAAGCCGATCTGCAAACTTGTAACCAGTGTTCAGCTTTATAACCATGTCACAACGCCCACTCGGTCCAGAACGGGTAATAGGCCATCTGTGCTTGATTTTGTGCTTACCAAAGAAGAACATGTGACTCCTGTACTGGTTGTATACTGCCCTTTAGGTCGTAGTAATCATGCCTTTATTAATTTCAACTTCATCTGCTGTGCGAACTACCGAGACGCGGACCATGAGACAAGGCGAACCATCACATGCTACGATGGGTAAGTCTACCTCGTCAGTGCCACAGCCTGATCGTTCCTCGCCGAAGACCCCCGGATGTCGCCTTGCACAATACATAAACAAATTCAATCGGTTGGTTACGAATGTTTCAGAGACAAAAGTTGGCAAACAGTCTGAAACAGTTACTTACGTAAGTTGCAGAACTTAAAAATTGCTAGCAATAGGCAACACAGCGTGGCGTGAATATGGATTATCTCTAACACCAGGGAGCTGGAATAACTGCGTAGCCCAACAAAACCATTGCGCTCAACTGCTCAGAGATGAAGAAGCCGAGCATCAGCAGAACATTGAAAAACCCTCAGCGCTAATCACAAACTACTGTATAATTATGTCAATGATTTACGGAAGGTGAGGCAAAGTGTTCCGCCACTCACGACTGCCGATGGCCTAGCATGAACGGCTACGGAAACGATATGCACCCATCTTCCAAGGCGTATTGCCATCAGGAGGTGATCCAGCTTGTACCTCCCCGCCGCCGGAACTCACTTAAATGTCTTTTGCCACCGAAGCTATCTTGCACATCTGACCACTCTATGCGAGCACAATTCCCCGTGTGGCGATACTATTCGCCCAGAGGCACTGGGAGCAGCAGCGTGCTACCTAGCGAGGCCACTGGTTTAATTCTTCCAGCGCTACTTTGACCAGAAGCAAGTTCCTGCCATGTAGAAGCTTGGAATAATAACACCCATTCACAAAGGTGGAAGCAGAACCGCGACTACAAACTACCGCTAAGTTTCACTTCTCCCTATACTGTCCAATGTGATGGAATCCATCATAGCTGTTACGCTGACAAGCTATTTAGGAAAACCAATATTACTATATCCCAGCAGCACGGTTTACGTCGAAAGCGATCCTGCACATCCAATTTGCTAATAGCATCGAGTAGCTGGACTAAGTCAGCTGAGACTGGAGATGATGTTGGTGTGATCCACCTGGATTTCTCGCAATTATTCGATTGGCTGGCTCATCGGATACTCGTTTCCAAGCCACAGCGTTACGGGATCGGTAAACCCACTTCTAAGCTGATTCCCCAAGTATCTCCTTCAGCGGTAATTAGTGGTCAGACTTCGGAGTTCCTTCTCTGACCCCATACAAATTGCAGCTGCTGTGCCTTAAGGCTCGGTGCTAGGTCTGATTATTTTTTGTGTTTATCAATGGCCTCACACAGTCAATTACATTTAACTTCCTGCAGTTTGCCAATGACGTAAGATTTGACGCAAGGTTCTAGGGAATACTGACCAGCAACGGCTTTAGAGTGATCTCGATACGGCACATCATTGGTCCACGCTAAATTTACTGCAATTTAATGTCAGTAAATCCGCGGTACTCTCCAAACGACACCAGAGCAGCCACTGGTATAGGCTCGGAAGGCATATGCTGCAGCGAGCTACTACCGAACGTGATTTGGTCTTACTGGTTCAGGATGATCTGTGTTGTTCCAGACCATCCGCGAAAGCCACCAATACTGGTAACCAACACGTAGACCTGATACGACAGGCGTATGGACAAATAGATCGCTCTATTTTCCAGCAAACGCTAAGTGCGTATGTTTTTCCGCTTGTAGAATATGCAATTTAAGCCTACCTCTCATGGATAAATCATAAGCTTGGTGAATTTGAGCAACCCCAAGGTCAAGCATCAATGTACGTTATTGGAATACACCAACGCGGAGAGGTTGGAACGATTGGCGTTATTAGCGGACATTATCGCCACTTACGATGTGGTGGGATAATGCTGTAATTAATTCTGCAAGATTCATATCCTG